TGACACCTCAAAATGGTACAGGACTTTTTGATTCAGTATAGGCTGTTCTACCCACGTATGACAAAAAAATGCGGTAGTCGCCAAACACCCTGTATATTGTTTTTAAGATTATATTTTATTTATTTATTTATTTATTTAGAAAAGAAGTGCAATACTTATTTTACTTTATAATAATATATAGCACTTTATACAAATATTTGTTTTGTAACATTTGTGATCGCACAATTGGTACTGTTCATTGGTGCTAGTCATTTCTGTGATAGTACTTAAGGTTTTTTTCAAAATTAGATTTTTTAAATGTATTTTACTTATTTTAATTTCATTTTTTAAATGATTGTTTTATTTCGAAAGTAAAATATATAATTCTTTTATTTTATTATAACGTAAAATGTTTTTTTTGTTTTCCTCGTGGATTGATGGCAATGATGGGAGGATATTATAATCATTTTAGTTTTGTTTTAGCTCTTCGAATGGATTACTCTATGAATTGCTGTATGCAACAAATAAGTTATTATATTTATTTTTTATTTCAGTATGAGAGCATTTTAATGGCTACGTTCGGTAACGTCGCTCGGATACCTCCGATGTCTCGGATTCATCATCTGTCCTTGTTTAACATTAAATGTCAGATTAAGGACAGATGATGAATCCGAGGCATCGGAGACATCTGAGCGACGTTTCCAAATGCAGCCAATATATTCTATATATACGATTGTTAATGTATATAACTCAACATATATATATATATATGCAGTTTGTATTATTTTTAGTAATTATATATTGTATATTGTATAATTGTTTTTGAATACTGGTAAGGTTTTCTGCAGTTTCCCTTGCCTATACAACAAATGTTGGTGTTCATGTTGTAAGTCGGCTGCAGACGCAATAAATCAATAAACTTTATTAAATAATATTTTCATAAATTCATTAATTCCTCACAGCTATCCTATATATCATTTTACAATACATTCCTATATACATTTTATTCTACACTTCGTTATTATAAGGGTCCTTAATGGTCCCCAACATTTCTGAGGCATAGATACTTCACTAGAAGGCGAGAGCAGTGCGCGCACACGTGAGACCACGTGATATTGCTTTTCGTCCCTCGATCTAACCACACTGGTTCCCGGTTGACTTTTATTTTCAAATTTTAAATGTCACACTGGTTCTGCACGGTCTCTTTGAGACGGTGTAGCAAAATCCCACTTCGTGCATAAAATTTGCACTACACCGTAGCCACGGAAACATGGTACACCGAATGAGTTCGCTTACCACCAGCCATGGAAACACGGTACACTGTCTGAGTGTTGCACTAGTGGGTGATAGTGCAGCCAAGAGAAAACGCTATCAGTTTAATTCGTTCTAAATCGTGCACATGTACATACAAAAAAATGTTACATAAATATTATTTGTTTCCAGTAAATAATAAGTGTATTTTAAAATTATATTATTGAAAAAAGAAATTCTTTATAAAGATAATCGTTACTCTAAAGAATAATAAAAATTATGTCCTCTCTTAGCACTCGAATGATATTTTTCTGCATGCACACTATCGCTCATGGAAGTTCGAACACCCACATAAATTTCATCGAATGATCAAGTAAAAAATTAAGACACTATAAAATAGCAATTGTATTATTGTTTAAATAATTTTAGATCACTTGTACACATACTACCAATTGCAAAAGTCTTATAAATTGACAATCTTGTGTTTCGCGGGTTTTCTCCGTGTTCAAATCCATTCTTGGAATGCCAACGTTTCGTGAACCTTGCAGTCC